TATTACAGAAAGGATGTGAATGCATGGAAAAGAATACAGATGTAGTGTACAGGAATAGTTCTAGAGACATGAGACACTTCACTGGAGGACACATAGAAGACAGTGGGGCTGTTTATCTCGGGGAGAAGGTGGCTAAAAGGAGGAAATCTGGTTAAGGGCTTCAAAATCAAGAGGCTGGAGAGGGAGAAACTGTTCTAGCTTGTAAAACAGGATAATGAGAGGGTCTAGATTTAAAAAAGGTGATTTCCAAGTGAAGCAAAGGGTGATGAGAAAAATAAACACAACTTTTCACCAATAACTGCTTACTGAAGCACTGCCCAGAAGTGTGGTGGAGGAATACTCAATGGAGGCTTTGGATGACTATTTGGATTAAAATAGTGTAAGAGTGGCAAAGTGGAAGGAGAGAAAGTGGGTTTGCAGTATGATGCCCATTTAAAGAGATACAATGGGCTGAATTGCCTCTCTACGGTGTTTGTTAGAGAGAAAACCAATCTCAGCTCAAGAGAGTTCCAGGAGGAACGCTACAGCTGGCCTAGCTAAAAAGGAAAAAAAGAGAGTTTGGCTTGGAGATAGATCGGTTGGGAAGGTGCAAGGGGAGAATTGAAATAGACACTGTTACATGTAGGCAAGCCCCAGGAACCAGATTGAGGGATTTTGCTGCTGCTCCCCAAAGTCCAATAACTGCTCTGCATGCAGTGTAGACTTCAACATAACTAGTTATTATGAAGAAAGCTCACACTTCAAGTTTCCCTTCACAGAGTCACCCCTTCAAGGCAATGGTGGGCAAAATGCAGAGACCAGTCACAAGTCCCTTATCTGCACAAGAGTTTATAAAGGAAGGCTCTGTTAAGTGTGTCTATGAGCCTCATCATTTAAAATTATGACAGGGGGACTATTAAGAGGAGGGACTAACTGGCATGTGTTTAAAACCTCTAAAACACTGAACATGGCTGGATTCAGAGGAATAGGTAGCAGTCACCTCACCCCTAAATCTGGCAGCATGCCTAAGTACCATCTGCACAAGAAAACAGCACTGACATCATCCAGTTGATCTTCCCCACTCAAAATTTATTTAAAAACCCTAAACTAGATCAAATGCTCAAGTTCACTGGCTGGCAGCATTTGCTTTGGTCATTCTAGTACACACTGTCTGCTCCCAGAGAGCTACAGCTGGCTGTTTACAATCTATGGACAATGTGAAACGATTCAGTAAACATGCAAGGTTGGACGTATGAGCAGTACCCAAGTGTAGTAATTGAAAAAAGTTAGCTTTCAGGAACCACACCACAAGATCTCATTAACTGAAACCAGAGAAATAATTGACTTAAAACTTCACCTAAGTAGTAACTTCACCCAATATAGTTTGGGTGCATAATAAAATCTTCTGCAATGAGATATTAGAATACCAGTGTGGGTCCCATATTGCATTGCAGTCAATTAACTGAAAAAAAAAGTCACAGTGGCTAAATACTGTTTCCTCAAATCAGATGGCCTGTTATACCAAGGGCTGAGGTTTTTAATTCCCAAATTAAAAGCAGATGCAAAGTTCCAACAGGGCTTATAGAAGCCAAGTTGTTGACTGCACTACACATTAGTCCTAGGTTTTGAGATTAATTCTAACGTTGTGTTTTGGGTTCAGATAGCACAGAGGAAGCAGCATGAAGGTCGGAGACCAACAGAAAGAGCTACCCACTGCCAGGGGGCAGTTTGGTGGAGTAGACACAAGAGGAGGAGGAGGAGGAATTGGATCGGAAAAGCATAAATGTAAACACCAAACTACAAAGGAAATCTCAAAAGGAACCAGTAGGAAGAATCATCTGACTTAGAGACCATTGAAATTTGCTCCTAGAGATGGTATATGGTTACCAGAGCTGGTCAGGGGACTAGGACAAGATGGATATATTGGAGAGAGAGACATTGGAGGTCTACAACGAAGACTCAAATTACCAGTTATTGTTTCAAACAGAAGCAGGCTGACTGTCAGCAATACAGCTAAACTGTGTTGAATAGCTTGATACTACTCCTACATCTTATTGTTGTTATCTCAAACAAAAAAAAAGAACCATCTTGAATATACGAGATCCTCATTTCTCAGGCTTAGTGAAAGTAAAAATAATAAATTTTTAAACTTAATGTTTAACAATTCTTTAAATGTCTTCAGCCATTTGTTGCCCCCTGTATGAATTAGGGCTTTACAATTTCCCTGCTCCAATTCCACACCCTCTTTAAAAGGGCTTACCCAAACAGGTTTTTAAAAAAGAAATGGAGGATTTAAAATCTTTGGTCTGCTGATTTGTTAGCTTTCTGCTAACTTCCAGTATTTTGCTGTTTGATTTCCAGCACTTGCAATAAAGTTGCTTTTAATCCATTTAAAGTATTAAGGAAGAGAGACAGGACTGGAGAAATTGAGCAGATATGATATTATTGGAGGAGGAGAATAGTTAATGTTTGGTTCTAGTATGATTCTTCCAAATCAGCTCTGATGTCACACTGGACTCAAAAGTGATCAACAGTTTTTCTTTCCACCAATGCTGCCAGACCTGCTTAGCATCTCCAGCAGGAGGCATTCATTTCAGATTGCCAGCACCCACAGTATTTTGCTTTTAATGGAATGAAATATCGTGCCAGCTGTTTCATGTGTTAATATCAGGGAAAAGTTTGCTTCCTGTTCTGAGGGAGTTTATGCAGCCTTACAATGTTGAAGAGGTGGCCTGCATGGCATGGCAATAGTATCAATCAAATGACTACCCTGGTTTCCTGGATTAACACAGGGGACACTAGTTCAGATCCATGGGATTTCATCAGATTCTCAGTTCTGGTTGCCATTACTATTATGAATCGTCAAAAACACCTGTTTGGAAAAGGGAAACTAGAGTCATGTGACTCAGACCCACAGTATTGCAGTAGACTCAACCTCAACACCCCCTCCCCTCCAACCAATCCCTCATGTGTCATAAGTCAATCAGTTCAAAGGAACAAATACCGGCCTTGCTAGCAATGCTCACACCAAGAAAAAACCTGTCCTTCAAAACAGCTTAAAAATCTTAGATTTCCTGGGACTCTGAACATGCAACAGGCCTTTCAACTCCTCCATCTATACCAAACATGGCATTGTATATTAATCCAATCTGCCTGCATGTGGTCTATATCCCTTTATTCCCTGCCTGTTCATGTTTAAATACCTCAAATGTTGCTAGCATATCTGCTTCTACCACCTCTTGGCCAATTTGATTGACAATCACACTTTTGTCCCTAACAAGGACCAACTTATTCGTGACTAGTAGACATTCCATAAAAAGTGGACCTTCAACTGCCCACAAACCTCCAGCTGGAGTTGACCCATACAATAATTTAACAGCGCTTCAATTTATACTCCAACATCTTTAGATGACTAAAAAAGTTTAGTCATCCTTTAAGTTTTTCTTATCCACCTTTTCCCAGAGCACTCACCATCAAGTGATCGTTAGAGCCCACTTTGCATGACTGGTTAGAATGTAGGAAGACCACTGTCTCTCCTTACCATTGCCCAATGCAGTGGATCAAAACTTGTATAAATCATACAGAATGTATGAGTCCAGCTTGGATTCTTGGAGAAATTATCCCTATTCTAGCACTAAATAGCTAGATAGCCAGTTGCTGTAATTGCATCAAGTCAACTGTATCCATATGCTACACTACCATTTAATATCATATACACCCAAATGTCTTATGACATTTTATTGAAGTATTCCAAGAGATCTACATAATTACTTTTAGTCAGTGTTTTCCTCCAAAGTGCATTATGATCAGTTGTCCTTTAAAAGTTTGTGCTGACTCCATTAACCTCAAGCATTTAAATTGAGGCCAGAATCCCTACTTGTGGGAGTCAGCCATTCAGCCCATCAAGTTTACACTGGCCCTCTGAAGGAGAATTTCACTACCACCTACCCTATCCTTGTAACCCTGCATTTCCCCTGGCTAATCCCTCTAGCCTGCACATCCCTGGACACTATGGGCAATTTAGCATGGCCAACCCACCCTAACCTGCACATCTTTGGACTGTGGGGAGGAAACCGGAGCACTGGGAGGAAACCCACACAGACACAGGGTGGTCTTTGTGGAGTTTGCACAGATGCCCAGGGCTGGGATGGAACCCAGGTCCCCGACAGCAGTGCCAACCACAGACATTGGGGTTGGTAGCACATCCTTTCCAAATTAGCCTGGGATTTTATTTTTAAATCCATTCACAGGATGTAGAAGTTTCTGGTTAGGCCCAGTATTTCTTACCCATCCTGAATTACCCAGAGGGCAGTCAGAGTCAACAACATTGCTGTGGGTCTGCAGTCACATGTAGGTCAGACTAGATAAGGATGGCGGTTTTCTTCCCTAAAAGGGCTTAGTGAACCAGATGGGGTTTTTTCCAAAAAAATTGCTTCATGGTCATCATTAGACTCCTAATCCCAGATTTTCATGGAATTCAAATTCCATTATCTGCAGTAGCAGGATTCAAACCCAGGTCCCCAGAACATTAGCTGGGTCTCTGAATTAACAGTCCAGTCATAATACCACTAGGCAGTCACCTCTATTGACTAGAATATGAAAAGGTGATGATTAGTCAATAAGCTGTAGGCTTGCTTCACCTTGTACCGCCCCTCAAAAAAAAAAGATTTTTTAGCTTAAGCTATGGTAGCAGCAATGTCACATGTACATCAGGTTTGTTCAAGTATTTGCTCAAATTCAAAAAAGCTGAGCAGTTTAATTGGAGACTATTCCAAACAGTCAATTGAAGAAATGTGGTTGTTAAATCTGGATTTAGCACAGGGGGAGTAAAGTGAAAAGGCTCTTACCAGAAGTTGTTCCATGTCTTTACCCCCTCTTCAATCAACTCAGGAGTGTCAAATCCAGAGAGTTGTTGTTTTTTTTTTTTTAAAACTAGCACCTTCTTGGGAGGAATTATTCATCTATTGTTCCCCCCCACAAGTGTGCATTGGAATCACAAGAAAGCAGGTTGGAGACTTTGACACCTTCAGATTTTCTGTTTTATACTGGTTTATCAATGTTACAGAAACTCACCCTTACAGCACTGATATCAAACAAATCACTTAAAACAGAACATTTACAGATTCAAAAAAAGTTGAGTGACAATGTGAACCCCAATTTCTTTTTGCACAATTAGGACTACAGGATACAAAGAGACCCAGAGTACTTAGTACACAACTTCATGTCTCCATATATCAGGAGATAATGTGCTAAATCCATTTCATGTCCACACTAACAATGGGCCAATGATTACTCTTGCTCAAGTCATTCAGCTACAAGATTAAATCTTGTAGGGCATTGATCATTTTACCGACAAACAGGGTTAGACAAGTTCAGAGGAGAAAAACTGGCAAAACAAACTCAAAGCAGAAAACATAGCCTGGTGTTTGGGTGCCTTACAGGCATAAGGAGGCTGGCACCTTTGAGAGAGAATGAGATATATTTGGAAAATAATCTCCTATGACAACTATGCAAGATATGTGCTAATGTTTCATGAAACTCTCATACAAAAAAGTGACCAAAGACCAGACATGTAGTGAATTGTGATGTGAGATTCTGCTAGGGGTGAATGGGTGGAGAGAGTGTTACGAGGACCAAAGAGGCCCATTGGTTGTGGAATGTGAGAAAAAATTAGATGATCATCCTTAATAAACAAAACCTCTTTGGAATGGGGCAAGACTTCAAATAAGTTAACAAAGTGAGAAAACAACATTAAAAAAGGTCACTCCGGAAGCCACTCAACCCCTGGGTTAATTCTGCAGTGTTTTCTTTCAAGTAAATTTAGTAAGTCATCTGCATTCTAACCATCTCCGAGAAAATAAATCCCTTGACAGAGGTTGGCATGGGGTGTGGTCAGAGCCAGTTTAAGTGAATAGGGACACATTCAAACTCAGCCTTCCTGCTCTGCCAAAAGAGCAATTTTTACCCCTTATTGGGGTTAAAAACAAAAAAGGAACTGACATTTTTTAAATGTACACCAGAATACTTACAGTTAACAATTATATCTACAAGCTGTTAAGGGTAGCTTCTCTTTATTCTTCCATACACCATTAAGTGGCTTGTTTCGAGTACCGAGGTAGCCAGGAATTTGGCTAGAGTCTCTGTTCCTTCACTTTTTTAAAAAAAAGTTTTGGGGATGTTTAGATTCTATTCTACATAGAAGGATCAGAGACAGTAAGCTTTGCTATCACAATGACAACTAGAAGGGTGAATTCTGCAGAAGTACGTTGGGAAAAATTCAGCAATTTCAGAATTTAAAACAAACTTGGTCTTAGCCATGCTCATATCCAAAAGATAGATATCCATTCTATTCCATTCCACACCCCTCCCCCCCCCCCCCACCCTGCATTGGGAAAGGATTTCAGGAAGAAGGTAGGAGTTGGAGGAAACATTCCCAGCTCAAGCCAAGATGCAGCCCATAATAAGTTCACATCTGGGCAAACATGGGGCCTTCATGCTCTTCACCACTCCCAAAATATATAATACTTCTTTTTTTTTAAAGATAATTGAAGTTTAGAAAAACTGCTGAATTTTTAAAAAGTTCATTAAATAATCCAATACAAAATCCACAGATCAAAAATATAGCCATCCTCTTGCTCTATTTATAAGAATGCTTCCTCTATACTCTGGATTGAAGTGCCAGGAAGATGTGTTGAAATGTTCATTACCACTGTGTCCAGTTAGTACTGTGACCTTTCCTTAGATACCTGAGTAATTCAAAGGGGTCCTCATCTCCATTTAGGGAGAAGTCAAAAGGACGAGATGGAAAGGGACTCTGATCATCAGGCATCTGTAAAGATACAGTATATTGATTTAGAGAGAATGCAATCTTACACAATTAATCCAAAGTTTAGTTAATAATAATTACTAAGAAATAGAACACAGCAACAGATCTCATAAGGGGTCAGGTTCTTGTGCTGGGGTAGGGCAACATTGTCGTTGGACTATTAATCTAGAGAGCTAGGTAACATTCTGGCAACCTGGGTTCAAATCATCATGGAATCCCTAGTGATGTAGCAGGCCATTTGGCCCATCGACTCCAAGCTGTCCCTGAACAGCATCCCACTCAGACCCATCACCCTACCTATCCTTGTACCCCTGCATTCCCCATGGCCAATCCACCTAACCGGCACTTGGACTGGAGGAAACAAACAGACAAAGAAGATGCAAACTCCACACAGACAGACAGTCACCAGAGGCTGGAACCGAACCTTTGTCCCTGGTGCTGTGAGGCAGCAGTGCTAACTACTGAGCCACATGCTGGCCTGCATGGCATTTGAATTCACTAACATAAGGCTCCTCTGGTGCTGTGCTGGTGTCCCTGCCTCAGTGCCAGAAGATCCAGGTTAGTGTTTCACATGCCCCAGAGGTGGGTCACAACATTTCCAAATACCGAGGCACCCATTTAAAGATCACTTGTTGAAAATTCAACCCTCTAGAAGATCTGGAACTCACTTCCCTAGAAAGCAGTAGATGCAAGGATATTGAACAAAGCAGAAATAGATACATTCTTAAACTTAAAAGGAAGCAAATCTTTAGTGGGCAGGCAGGAATGTAGAGTGAAGACCAGTTAGATCAGGCAGAAGGGGGTGGAGAAGGCTAGAACTGGCCTTAAATGACTGTTCCATATTCATGTTCATGTCTGTCAGACATAATCATTCATTAAGTAAGTATTTTAAAAATAAAGGAAAATTACTGTTCATACCCACAATTAGAAGTGAGTGTTGGCCAGCAGCCCACATCCTATGAAAAGGATAAAAAAAACAGACTGAAGGCCATTAGATGAGCTCCATAGAAATCAATTATGGATTAAAACACAAGAATTTTGCTTCAGTTAATTGACAACATTTGGGCTTGTTCAGGAAAAAAAAAAAAAGAAGTTTTTCCTCTCCCCCACCCCCCCCAACAAACACCAGAATTGTTGGAAAGGCATCAATAGTTTGAAATGCAAATATTCCTGGCTGAAAGAAACAACATATTGCTGAGAAAAGTGGAAGTCAGTGGAGATGGCCAATTAAGAGCTTTATACTGGTACTGTTCAAGCATATAAAAGGGGGCCTCTTGTGGCACAGAGGTGATGTTCCTACCCCTGGACTGGGACCCAGGATTCAAGTCCCACCTGTTCCAGGAGGTGGGGAATTAACATCTGGAAAAGGTGGACTAGAAAAACAGGTCAGTGTATAAAATGAATTGAGGAAACCTTCCATGAGGATTTTTTTTAAAATCTTCGAAGAGGGTTGGAGACATGGGTGCCTTCATATTTGTTTTAATACCTATCTCCATGTTGAGACAAAACAGAAAGGAACACTTTAGTAGCAGTGATGCAAGTTTAAAGACATCACCATAGTTTAGTTTGCAACTTGTTACTTTGTTCAAGATGCAGGCAGCCTTTGGAGCATTTAACTCCGCCAAGCTTTTCAGGAATGGATCTGCTGTACAGAGAAATCTTTTAAAAGCCCCAAGTTGTATTGATTGAAAACCTCCACACACCCAGCAGTGTCCAGTGTTCTTCAAAGCAAGTTTGATACCATTTACATGATTTGTTTTCCCCACTGAGTTATTGTAAATTATGAAATAAAGCTTGAATTTGGTTTGTACATGAAATGGATGACATTCTAGGCAGGTGACCCAGTGAACACATTGCAGCCTAGATGATCCAAGCCCTCTCCGCAAGTACGAGAGCAGATATTGAAAGCAATGTGCAATTGGATGCAATTGAGGAGAGTTTTCTCTGATCTGAGTCACCATGAACAGCCATGCCTTCAACCAACCACACAAGCCCCATTTGTTACAATACAAAGCCTCCAATCTCTTTCTAGTTCTCTATTCCTTAAGCCTTACAGTTGGTCATCCTTCCCATTACCTCTTTTGGATTAGCATCCTTTTTCCCCTCAAATATACTTCTTTTAAAGAAATCGCTAAAGGTTTTCAACTAGAACAATCCTGTGTCAGAGACCTGTTTTGTTAGTAATCTATTTCATGTTAGATGAGAGACTACATGACAGCTTACCAATGAAGAATTGCTTGTAGTCACATTGGTGTAGCACAGGGGACCAAACCATTGCTCCAGGGGCCTCTTTGCTTTGTCCATTCCATGTAGAGGAGACCAAATACCTATCCCACTTCTGAAACAGAGTGGCAAATTATACCAGAGGCCTTTAACAGTTAAGAAAAGCCGAAATACAAGTGACCAAATCACAGCAAGTTTCAGGTAAATCTCCTCCTCCCGTTCAGATTGAAGAACATTGCAGGAGCCAACTGACCATTTACTTGAATTAGATGCTTCTGCAGAATCCCACTGTTTCATTAGGTGATGGTGCCTGGCCAGTCAACTTAAAGCCAGCTAGTCCATTAGAGCAGTTACTTTCTAGTAGCAAACTGCAAATTAACTGCAAACCTGGAGTTGAAACATCATTTAGTATGTGAAGTAACAAAATGACCCTCTACATGTGCTGTAGGGAGCCATGCTGAAATGCACTGGATTCAGGAATATCCAAAACCATTATTACTTTTGATGGAAAATCATGCAGCATCTCAGACTATTGGTGGGAAAGCAGTCTCTGTTACATGCAGTTGCTATTTCAGGTTAGATTTCCAGCCCCCCACCCGCCTTTTGCCATCATCTTCCTGATGGCATTGCATTCTCTTCATGGAAGCCTGTTCCATGGGAAGAGTCACCCTCTAGTCACTCAAAGTTGCAGTACCTAACCTATACAAGGGTGACCATTAACACAGAATCCTGAACCAAAGAGAGGGGATATGCACAAACTAGGTCCAGGCCATACAGGGATAAACTAGGAAGCACTGAAATCAAATGGAAACAAAGGTCTAGGAATGTCCCCTACTCCCTATCCCTGGCAAGGGCATTCTGTTTTGAAATTTAGTTGACTAGAGACAGATTGCTAGATTTATTAGGCAAAGCTAAAGAGTTGAGAAACAAAGGGTGAATTAAAAAGGCTTAAAAAAAACACATCATCCAATTTAATTGAACAGATACGAAAAGAGTGAAAGGTTAACTCCAGTTTGTGCTGTTGTGTACAAGGTGAAATTTATCAAGGCAGCTAGAATATTGATGACATTTTACATACATTGACTTCAGGCCATCTTCCTGCTCATATGGTGGATCCCAAGCATGGAGTGCCTTCCTCCACAGCCGAATCTGCTTATCCCAGGAGCGGCGGCTATATTTCTTGTACTTGTTGGGAGTTTGGGGGTGTATTCCTGGCACTCGGAGTCTCCTTTTCAGAACAAAATTGATAATAGCATCTTAAATCATTTGTCTCCTTTTTCTCTTCTCCCCCTCCCCCAGGGGTGTAATGCCACCTGCAGAGGATTCTTAAATTGTAAAACAATCCAGTCTATCTCTGACAATCATCTGATCGGTTGGATAAATAAAGCAAGTGTTTGTAAACAATGATGGGCATAGCTGGCAAGTGAGACAATAAAGTCAAGGCTGTGTTTGGCTGGGGAGGGAACTCTAACTTAGCAATTTCTCTTACAATGGTAATAAAAGACTTGTCAGCTTTAGTTATGTGACAAACATGAGGTTGTCTGGCACTAGAGTTTTAATTCTTTTTTAAAGAAGCAAACACAACCTTAGATCTAGATAAAAGTGATACCACTGTTGTAGAATCGCTTAGCCTTCTTAGCAAGGGGATCTCATTTTCCACATGGGGAACTTGCAGCCTGCAGGACCCAATCAAGTTCAACAAATTTAGAGTCTAAACATATACTTCTGTCCTTGAACCACCGCCACTCGTACCCCACGCTCCCACCCCCACCCCACCACCAAACACATTGTCAGTCATGGGCTGCCTTCAGCCCAGCCAACCCATTTTGACCCACTCACGATTCCATTATTAAATATCTTTTTCTTCAGCATCCATTGCTGTGTCTCCCTGGGCGCCATTTCTGCCTATCTACTCACTCCTTCCCCATCCCAGCCCTTACAACTGACCCCATCTTCAGTGTAAATATCAACCCCCTCCCCTTAGCTACAATCGGTCCTGAAGAAGGGTCGCTGAAGTCAAAGTGTTGCCTCTGCTTTCTCTCCCCACTGATGCTGCCAGGCCTGCCAAGTTTCTCCAGAAATTTACCTCTGTCTTAGTGGAGACAGCTAAGCCTGGACCCGGAGTTTGATTGACAACTCCAGCCCTCCCTTCAATTGTAGGATTTTGATATTTTCTGCTCAACCAGTTCAGGGCTGTTGTCACATTTCTGGAGTGGGTGGGACTTGAAACCAGGCCTCCTTGTTCAGAGTTACTACTGTACCCCTGGAGCCTCCAGTTGTAATTTTTAACCCCCAAAAAAGAAAAGTAGCAAAAAGCTGATGTTTCAGGTTTTGCAGCTTTTGCTACTGATATTCAGGTAAAGTCTGGATAACTGACTTCATATGGCTTGTAGGGAAAGAGATTCAAGTGGAGAATTAGGACTTAATGGCTTTCAGCATTTTGGAAAAATAATTAGAATTTCACTGTGACTATAGAAAGTTTGTTGCTTTGATAGTGTATTCTAAAGCAGAGGCGGGGGGCCTTAGGAGAGGGGCAGAGCAAGAATAGCTTGACATTTGACTTGGACGGGGCTAAAGGTTTTGCTTTTTCTGTATGTAGCTGGGATGAAGTCCACAACACAGGAGGTGAGTTTTGTTTTAAAAGCAAACAGTCTGCACAATCCTCATTGCAACCTCCAGCCATTTCCCCAGTTGGCTGACCAGCTTGCACCTGTATGTAACGCTGACAGTCACATCTGACGCTACTTTCTCAAAGTGAACCCAGACATTCCCCCCCCAATCCCTGCTACTTACCTGGAGAATATCCAGGTCCTTGTGCCTGATCTATGCTGCAGGATCGGGAAGATGTCAAAATGATGTAGTCAAGGCAGCTAAATCCCAAGTGTCCTCTCACCAAAGGAGAGGTATTCCTCGCTTGAACGCAGAATTTGAGCCCTTTCATAAACCATTTTCCATGGTGTAATGGCTATTGCCATCTTGACCAGGAAATTCTATAATCAGCACCAGAAGTGAGGATTACTCAATAAATCTCTACAAAAAGTGATAGTGTGTTGTCATTCATTGTGATAAACATGGTCACGTACCCAACTTCAAAATGCCTCCTTCACTCCAAATTACTTTAGTGTTAAAAAAGCAATAACTTACTTTGGGACTTCTTGCTGGTATCTCGGATAGGCAGGGGTGTTCTTTCCATAATCTATCTGCTTTTGTCGCCTCCTCAACACTGTTTCATCTGTTTCAATTTCAGATTGTTTCCAGCATTCAGCTGGAGAGTCAGAAGCTGGTGCAGATACACTCCAATGCCTGTAGTTTCTGTAGCGGAGGAAGTGAAGACAAAGAACAACCTGAACCTCAGACAAGGAGTAATATTTTTCAATATCATACACTCTAGCATCATCTTGTTAGCGAACACTGTTGGAATAGGCTTATATCTAATCCACTGATGTGATCTTCTGCAGCACAGGGAAGGTTTGGCCTTGGTAGCACACAGACGCACACCACTATCTTCCTCAAATAGGTTCCAGCAACACATTTCAATCAGTGTTCTTTCCTTGGCTCGGGGGTCTTCCTAAAAAGCCAGAATTAAATCCAAAATATATGGTGTGCTGCTTGTATCTTACAACTCGTTTCTTGTATTGTGGAATTTTCACAGTACCTTTTATATAAAAAAACATTACTAAAGCCAGCATAGTCCTACTGGACCATAGGGCTGCCTTCTCATTAGGGAGATGGCTAGCAATGGTTTGACCCATGGGTCACCAGGCCTCAGGCAAGAAGAAGAGGTTGAATCAATCATCATAGCATCTCTACAGTGTGGGAGCAGGCCATTCAAGTCCACACTGACCCAACCTCATCCCTGTAACCCTGCATTCCTCATGGCTAATCCACCTAGCCTACACACTTTTGGACTGTGTGCCCTTCACGCAAACTTCACCCTGATGCAGGAATTGACCCAAATTGTTGTGACTACCCTGCATTGCAAGTCAGTTGTCTCATTAACTGATCCCTGTACTGTATAGGACTGGGACATAGACGGTTATGTGATTTATAAAACCCAAGGGGATGTGGGCAGAGACAGTGACAATAGAGTTTCCTCAGATCATGGATTTCGCTGGCAAGGCCAATATTTATTGTTCACCTCCAACTGCTGGAGAAGATGGCTCACACCATCTTGTGTTTTTGAATATAATAACGCAGTATAACTGCTGTTTGCAGAGGGACTAACCCTATTGCTGTAAATCAAGCAACACAGCCCTAAATCAATCATTTCGGGACAAGAGGTTTCTTAAGGATATATCAGTAGCTACATGTAACTCCAGACCTGCTGTAATGTGGTTACTTACCTAACCTCAGGTCAATAAGTGCTGGTCCAGCCAGCGACACTCCCATCCCATGGATGAATTTTATTAAAAATGGATTTTCACATGGGTTTAGTAGTCACCATTTTTGATGGTAGTAACTTTAATGCCAGATTGCTGTTTTAGTCCTGAGTTGCTAGTCTAGTAACATACTAATCGGTCATGTGTTTCTCCATAAAGCAAGCAGCAGACAGGTCATTTGTAACGTTGGTAATTGTCAGCACATTGGTAGAGCAGCCTGAAAGACAGGCAGCCACATTTTGGGAGTTAATTTTAGACAGATGCTTTTATTCAGCCTGGATGATGCATTATCTTAACGTATCAAGTCCAAAAGCATCTCAACATAAAAGCCAAAGGCCATCTTATCAGTGAAAACATCCTGTTTTTATGTTAGCCTCCCAAGCAAGTTCAGAAGGCTATGAGAACATTTGCAGTGTAACATTTACATTAAGAAAACATGCACCTTTTCTCCCAAGCCCATGCTCTGTTAGGCTCTGATTCTGTACCCACTCCAATGCTGGCTGTTGTAGGTATACAGGCATCAGCCCTAAAGGACAAGAGAATTCAGACTGATTAAGACATACATAGTAATGACTTATTGAAATGTCAATAGATTGATGGATGATCACAACTCAATACAGAAGTGAGCATTTCCCAAACAAATAAACTGGCAACATCTGCAAGACATGATATGTGCCTTCCTTTTAGAAAAGGGAAGTTTAGCTTTAGATCAAGTCCTCATATACATGATTTAAGGATTTTCTTGCATGTGAGGTGTCCAGATTTTGCACACAGGCTAAATTGAAATCAATGAACCTGTGTGTCTGTTATCCTTTTTGTTACAAAAATCCTTACACCTCTGGCCCCAGCAAAACAAGTCAAGGAGAAGACAACCTCACAGTAAGGATTTTAAAAGAATTGCTTATTTATACTTCAGATGCAGTCCAGTATAAGATTCCCAAATGGAAAATAACTTGCAAATTATGGTACTTTATCACTACTTCAGGTGATTCAAAAAAATTTAAAAAACATGAAGACGGTGTTATTGAATTACTTATTTACAGGCAAATGGCAGTTAATTTATGGCCAGCCAAATCCAGTGATTTGAACCAGTTACCTGGTGGCATTTGGAAAACACTTTAAAAGGCAAGTGTCAGTTTTTCCAGAATGTTCAGTAAAGAGTTCTTACAAGCACATTGTAGGTAACATCACATGAAAGAATGCACTTGTGAATAGATCTTTCACTCAATACTGTATCTGAATGTCAGATAAAACACTTGTCTGGGATTGAACCCCCAACTATGACAAAAAAAAAAGGGCAGGTGCACCCTCAGTGATCACGTACACATCTTATCCCCATGCTGAGCTGACACTAGCTTAAGGTGCTGAAATTCCACCCTAGCTCAAAAAACAATATTTAAGACTATGGTTCCTCATCTCAGAGAGAAGTGGGACTTCCTGGATCATGTTTCTCAAAAGTAATGAGATGATAAACAACCTACCTTGGCTCCTTAAATTTTGTCAGCCACCAAAAAACAAAAAGACAAACATTTGTACTGAGCAAGGATAGCCCAAAGAGGAGAAAAAAAAAAGGTGATTAGCTTGGCTTCCTTCCAATTCAAAAACAAATTGCTGCATTTTAGTTGTAGTATGGAAGGAGCAATTAAGCTTAAAATGTTAAGAAGCTTCCTTCTTCCTTCCAATTAATTCAGTACTTGGAAGTACAGTGTAAAGTTAGACCAAAAACTAGGAAGATCAAGTGACTTCCAGGCGTGCTACTGAGATAAGTCAGTAGTTGGTGGAAGTGTTACCATAGCCTCAGTAAAGCTAGTCACTGACAAAAGAAAAAAGGTAACTGCTACTTGACAAATGGAGCAAATCTCCCAAATACATATCATGTGACTTCCTTCTTGCTACAAAAGCAAGTCACATTGCAAATAGGAACCATTTAGCCTTAGTAAGAGCAGCCCAATACATGAAAGTGATGGTTGCATCGCAGTTCACACCTCAACAAGTCAGAAACAAATCCAGTAAGAGAAGTTGTAGAGCTGGATGAACACAGCAGGCCAAGCAGCATCAGGAAGGCTGACGTTTTGGGCCTAGACCCTTCTTGGCCGAAACATCAGCCTTCCTGCTCCTCTGATGCTGCTTGGCCTGCTGTGTTCATCCAGCTCTACACCTTGTTATCTCAGATTCTCCAGCATCTGCTCCAGTTCCTGCTATCTCAGTAAGAGAAGGAACTGTTTCTCCCAAGAGGATAAGTTGAAAAAAAGGGGAGGGAGGAAACAAACAAACAAACAAGGTTAGCCAATGAAAGTGCTGTAATTTTATCTGTCCATTATCTCTTTCCAATTTGATTCCATAAGGAATTGTGAAACTACTTGTTGTAGGTGTCACAGTCTGAAAACACACTTACGGATGGCACCACCATCTATCACAATGCTCTATTAATAGCCTCACCTTTTCACTGCCCAAAGTAGTGAGTCAACATTTGGAATTGCTGCTGCACCCACATTTCCAAAGTCCAACCATGGAACGTGAGCATTTGTATTTCCGGCTTCCCTGTCACAAAAAGTAGTAAATTTCAGTGTTTCCAATGAAGTTTTGCACCATTCAAGATGATAAAACAAAATTTCACAAACAAGGTCATTTTCCATGCAGCATGGAGTCAGGAAAAATCTGACAATTGAATTTTGGCCAAAGATTACTTATAGGAAACAAGGCCAGATGTACAGTAAGCCTTTACCAGAACAACAATCCTTGTACCAAAAAAGTGTACGATTTAATATTTCTATTGAAGGTAATTTTATGGCCCAAATTGAACATAGGCAGTTATGTATGCCATTGAAACTTTCATATCAGGAACCTGATCAAGATTGCTTTAAAACACAGGTCACCCATAAGTGTTTGCTGTAGCATTGACTGGATTGGAACTTCTGCCCCAGTGGGTCAAAGAAAGATCAGAATGCTAGAACACCACTGAACCCACAGCAATTTTTAAAATTGCAAAGCTTTCTATAATACAGGCATCACTTTGAGACACAGGTTAGCAATCAGCTTTGTCCTCAACTCTTTCAAGTTGCAAGTTCAGACCCATCATTAACTTAAAGTTTTCCCAGCTGTCCGCACAGAAGTTGCCTAGAATTTTACCATTGGTTAAAACAAAACACAAGCCAATCAGCAGCAATAAAAACAAAGCATGCTCAGATTGGTTTAACACTTAATTATTTTCCAAGTCATCACATCATAAGTTAAAATAAACCAGAGAATTTTAGGTGGCACCATTCCAGCACTGTTTTAAAAACCAGTCTGCAGCACTTTGAAGAGCTGAAAGCATTGGAAAAATCCTGTGTTACACTTTACTCCATCCACTAGGTGACAGGAGAATTAATATTGAGAAGATCAGTTTAAAATCCACTCAAAAGCATAATAACAATAAAAACTCAAAGCCACAAGCTAAACAAGAAGAAAAAAAAAATATTAAATGACATTAAGCCACACAGAACAAGGTTTTACAGACAGGGAGCTACAGATAAATACAACTTGTTTTATCCAATCTCCCAAGGGGCTAGTCAATCCCAAAATTAAAAATTTAAGAGAATGATGGCTAACTAAATTAGATTTTGACCCCTGTAGGTGGCTCATAATATCACTTCTATAATCAGTGATACAATATTCTCTAAATAGTACAATATTCTATACATGATATTCCCAGCAGTATAGGATTATGTTATTCATAAACTGATAGATTATCCTGCTCCATACTTAGATGGTTAACTTGAAAAAAAAACTTAGGTTTAACAAGATACTCAGATGTGTTTCAAAGGAACTTATTAACAAATAAAGCAAAGCAGTTAACTTAGGCTTCTCTTCCCACCCCATCAATCTGAAACAAGGAAGTTAGTTGTAAGCACTATAGAATTGTAACCTGTTTGTACGTGACTTGTGACTATAAAAGCTAGTCTGCATTATTTTATTTTTCCACCCCTCTCTCCTTTACTATTCACATTAAGAGACAGGTGCAGCTTTTAAATACTGCAAGGGGTGGACCCTGTTTCAGAATTCAACCTATTGGACTGCTGCATAATAAGGTTGATTATTCCTCCATACCAAATATTATCTTAAAGACCCCATGATGCATTAAACTGTTAAACCTGACTAGCACATTGAAATAATATCAAGTTGGTGACTGATATTTTAAACCACTCTTTCAAAGTGCACAAGGTAAGAAATCCAATTATACCTCATTAAATATTTAACCCTTCACCAACAGGCATATAGAAAAACAGGACCAAAAACAGAAATTGCTGAAAGAGCTCAGCTGATTTCTGAGGAAGGGTCACTCGATCCAAAACATTAACTCTGATTTCTCTCCACAGATGCTGCCAGAACTGAACAGGCCATACAAAAAAAAACTGGATCCAAAACAGAAATTGCTGGAAAAGCTCAGCAGGTCTGGCAGCATCTGTGGAGAGAAATGACCGGGAATGGGAATGAGAGATTGACAGTGCGTCGTGATGATTGGAGTTCGGGCAGCTGGTATAGAGAATAGAGCCTAGAACGTCGCACAGAGCTTGAAGTAACAATGACATTGTGGTGATGGAGTGATGCCAAAAGGAAGGTAGCTGGTAAAGGGTTTGAGTGAAATCTGTGGAGTTTAGTGTGGTAAATACTGAAAATATGTTTCCTCAGGTTGGTGAACGGAAAGCAAGGGAAAGAAAGGACCAAGGCAAAAGGGAGAGGAAGGTTGTTGAGCCGAGGGCAATTAGTCAATGGAACACTCCATGACAAATGCTTTTTGAGAAACAGACTACATAAGGCCTTAGGATCATAGAAACAAAATTAGGCCTTTCAGCCCATCAAGACTGCTCTACCATTTGTTATGGACCAGACCAGACCCAGGGTTAGCCTAGACTCGAACTTTTATATTTATTTAAAGGCAAGTGTGTTCCAGACGCGACTTGATTGGTCTACCGCTAGGCTTTAAGCAAAACACACTTTATTCTTACAACATGGTTAAAATATAAACAAAAAGAAGAATTGGCATAACTTTAACTTGATTGAAATACTTAACAAGTCAATATTTGATTTAATCACCAATCATCAGGCAGCATCTCACAGACATACCCTCGGCAAGGTGATTTAGCAAAACAGTTTTATTCTCACGTGCTGTCCTCTCACTCCAGCAGCAGACAGAGATTTCATGCTGTTAGTTCCAGCAGCCAGCTCACAGAAAACTTCTCACCAACTGAAAGCAAAACTAAAAACCTTCCCGGGTCTGTGTGAGCCCTGACCCTGCCCACTCATTATTCTTTTGTCTTTCTATTTAAAAACAACACTAACCAGGCATAACTCCAAGCTGTTTACCGAGTGTCAGAAGCAGACATTCCATTACCATTGTGACTATACCTCTCCACCAGGGAAACACGATGGAACACGTTTAGATTAAAGGCACAATACTGTCACACATGGCTGATATGTTTCTCAACCCCATTCTCCTGCCTTCTCCCCATAACCCTTCATCCTCTTACTAATCAAGAACCTATCCATCTCTGTCTTAAAGACACTCAGCAACTTGGTCTCCACAGCCCTCTGCAGCAATGAGTTCCACAGATTTATTACCCTCTGGCTGAAGAAATTCCTCCTCATTTCAGTTCTAAAGGGTTGTCCCTTCAGTGTGAGACTGTGCCCCTAGTCCTAGTTTCTCCTATTAGTGGAAATACCTTCTCCATGTTCAATCTATCCAAGCCTCTCAGTATTCTGTAAGTTTCAATCAGATCCCCCCCTCATCCTTCTAAACTCCATTGAGTACAGACCTAGAGTCCTCAACCACTCTTATGACAAGCCCTCATCCTCAGGCTCATTCTTGTGAACCTCCTCTGGACCTCCCCCAGTGCTAATCCATCATTCCTTAGATACAGGGCCCAAAACTGCTCACAATATTCCAAATGTGGTCTGACCAGAGCCTTACACAGCCTCAGCAGTAAGTCCCTGCTCCTGTATTCTAGCCCTCTTGAAATGAATGCCAACGTTGCATTTGCCTTCCCAACTGCCAACTGAACCTGCATGTTAACCTTAAAAGAATCCTGAACTAGAATTCTCAAGTTTCTTTGTGCTTCAAATTTCCCAAGCCTTTCTCCATTTAGAAAATATTCTAAGCCTCTATTCTTCCTACCAAAGTGCAAAACCTCACACTTTCCCACATTGTATTCCATCTGCCACTTCTTTGCCCACTTTCCCATCCTGTCCAGACCTCCCTGCTTCCTCAACATTACCTGATCCTCCACCTAACGTTGTGTCATCTGCAAACTTAGCAACAATGCCCTCAGTTCCTTTGTCCATGTTAATGTATAATGTGAATAGTCCCAACACTGACCCCCCGTGGAACTCCACTGGTCACTGGCTGCCATCCTGAAAAAGACCCCCTTTATCCCCAATCTCTGCTTTCTGTCAGTCAACCAATCCTCTACCCATGCCAATACCTTGCCCCTAACACCTTGGGCTCTTATCTTATTTAGGAACCTCCTGTGCCGCGCCTTGTCAAATGCCTTCTGGAAATTGAAATAGGTGGAGCGTAGGAGGTTGAAGGGTTCCTTATAGAGTTTAATAAAATTATGAGGGACATGATAAAGTGAATAACCAGGGTCGGGAGTCCAAAACTAGACATCATAGGTTTAAGATTAGAGGGGAAAGTTTTAAAAGGGACATGAGGGGCATTTTTTTTCACACAGAGGGTGATGCGTATTTGGAACGTATTGTCAGAGGAAGTGGGAGAAGCGGGTACAGTTACAGCATTTAAAAGAGAATTGGCCAGGTAGATGGACAGGAAAGGTTTGGAGAGATATTGGCTAAACACAGGTAAATACGACTAGTTCAGTTTAAGAAACTTGGTTGGCATGAATGAGTTGGGCCGAAGGGCCTGTTTCATAGCTGTGTGACTCTATGACTCTATCACACCCAATGGCTCTCCTCTGTCTAACTTGCTCATGACCTCCCCAAAGAATTTTAACAGATTTGTCAGGCGTGACCTCCCCTTGACAAAGGTGCGCTGACTCAGCCCTATTTTACCATGGCCTTCCAATTACTCAGCAATCTCTTCCTTAATAATGGGCACTAAAATCTCACCAACGACCGAGGTCAGGCTAACTGGCCTATAGCTTCCTGTCTTCTGCCTCCCTCCCCTCTTAAGCAGGGGGGGTTACATTAGCCATTTTCCAATCCTTTGGGACCCTCTCTGACTCCAGTGATGCCTGAAAGATCATCACCAATGCCTTCACAATCTCCTTCAGAACTCTGGGGTGTGGCACAGTTTGGGTGATTTATCCATCTTCAGACTTTTCATCTTCCCCAGCACCTTCTCCTGAGTGATGGTCACTACACTCACATCTATCTCCTGACTGTCTTGATGTTGTGGTATGCTGCTGGTGTCTTCCACCATGGAAAGTGACGCAAAATACCGATTCAGTTCCATCTTCATTTCTTAAGGAATGGGATAAGTAATCAAAAACAGGATATAGCAGGATCTGGGAGAGCAGAGTTAGAAGAGAGGACAAAGCTATTGAGGGGCTGAATTGCTGTACTGTAATTGTCTATAATCGTATAAAAACTCTTTTGATTAAGTTAGGGAACGGTTTTGCGATGTTGATGCTAGGTTGTGGTAAGTGCCTCAAAACAATACCATTCGGCCAAGCCCCATTTTGGCCTAGGTGAGTCCGTGTCAGCTGGTTTTGATCTGGGAAATCTTCGTGGTGCTCAGGTCTGAGGGGCCCTCTTGTGGCACAGTGGTAGTGCCCCTACCCCTGAACCAGGAGACCTGGGTTCAAGTCCCACCTGCTCCAGAGGTGTGTAGTAACATCACTGATTAGTTGATTGGGGAACATTAGAGGTCTGCTCTGACCAATGTTGCTAGCTTCAGACAGGAGGTGAATCAACATGACAGCTTTGTTTAGCCCAGAGCATGGACTTTCAGAGTTGAGCCTGATGTGGGAAGAGCAAGCAGTGAGGGATGTCTCTAGTATCTGTGGCAGCACCATCAATAACATGTAGCAGAGGTCTTCTGGAGAGCAAGCTAAGCAGAGGACCTTGGGGCTTCATTATGGCTAAGCACTCAAGAAAGAGTGTTGAACTTTTAATTTTATTTCTTTATTTTTCTACTTGATATAAAGAAGGACTTTAGTGTTAATTACAACCTCATTTCTATGTTTTTCTACCTACATTATGATGGTCTGTCATATTAAACTGTTTAACTTTGCTTCTCCCTTTTAATACCTTCTGCCTAAGTTTTTTGTACCTAGGTACTTCTGTACCTGAGATGGTGCCATGTGTGGTGACATTATGCACTTTTTCACTGTACTCCTGTACTTAAGTAAGTACACATGACAATAAAATCTAAATCTAACTTCAGAAACCAAGGAGAGTGGAAATGCAAGGGAATCAATTAAACATGGTTTTCACAGAGGAGCCTGATCAAATCGATAGTTGCAGGATGAATATCTGAGGTTCAGGCTGTTATTTGTAGTTCAACCATTGGGCATTTATGGCTATTACAACCAGTTGCACGTAGACTATCAGTGAATCATTGTTTATGAGGAGATTTGTTCATTCCCATCATTATTAGTCATCAGTTCAATTTCAGTGTAATTCTGTCAGTTACCAATGGACGAAGCGATTCTCTCAACTCTGGATCTATCTCTACAAATCCCTCTCCCCAACTTTTGGTTTCTTCTGTTTTCCTTCTCCCCACTACAGAAACTCCATCACCAGGACCACAGGGAGAGAGTAGGTGCAGACCTTCTATTCCTGCAGGAAGACACCAGAACTAAAAGGAGGCACCGAGATGGTGACCATCCGCAAGGGACCATGTTGGGAAACCTTTGTTTGCTCTTTCAGGAAGAATGTGGTCAAGAATAGATGCTGTTGATTTAGTAGAGGAAGAGGACAAATGGTAGATAGCCCAGCACAGTGGCACAGTGGCTTATTGCTGCCTCACAGCACCAGGGACCCAGGTTCGATTTCACCCTCGGGCGACTGTCTGTGTGG